AGTTGCTCAAGTACAAATTGGGGACAAGAGTCTGATGCGACCAATACACAAGTTGGTTCCCTTAAATTGTTGAAACGTTTGTCAGTTGATATATATATATTTCTATTCGCACTTGAACTTGATGTTCCCAGTGCGGGGAGGGGGAATGTTAAGGAGAGTGGACAACTTTTACTATATATTGTTTACATTTAACATTCATAATTAAAATAATTAGTGCTTTGGACGAGCAAAAGTACTGGGACGAGAGCGTGTTCGTGGTTCAAAAACATATCGTAAAAAGGTTCATATATCGAAGAACGAAAGTGTTATTTTGGGTGTTATTTTCTGGGTTATAGTTTGTTATTAAATTCTTTATTATTAAACCGAGTGGAGTTATCGTCTACTAAACAAAATGCATGATGGCGTCGTATACAATTTGCCATATCGAAAATATATTCTTCTTGTCAGATTGTAGATGATTGGAAGTGGTTTTTCCGTTGTGGAATAACTGACGTGTGGCTGTGTGCTAAAACTGCGGACAGAACAATAGTGGCGGCGAAAAAAAGCGTATACCAAACGGTCCAGAGTATTAAATGTCAATATTATGTCAATGACAATGACATTGTTAAGCTGGATGATTCCATTTGGCACCTGCCGTCTGCCAAAAAGATACTTGATCATGATAGGTATAGCATTCAAATGTGCAGTATATATAACATCCAGTTTACACTTGGTTTTATGCACATTTATCTAATAATTGCGTGTAATTATATGAACAGACAGCGTTGTAAAATTTTAAAAGGGTGAAAAATTTCCACGCACGAAAAGTTTTTGCAGGCATAATTTTTTCTAAAGCCGCGGGGTGGTTATGAATAGAAGGAATTGAGGGATGCCTTATTAGATGCTTGATTTTAGCAGTTAGATAAAGGCAATGTTGACAGCCCTGTGCCGACAAAGGCTATTGTGTCATCGGAATTGGGAATATTTGTGTATAAATATTAGCTGATATACGGTGTGTCTAACAAAACGCAAGCCGACTTTAGCATGAATGTGTGCGTTAATCAATTACTCGCCATGACGACCCGCACGTTTTGAAAAACAACCGGATCTGCAAACTGAGTTGGTAAGCTGTAAAACATGGAATCTCGAATCTGGAATCCTGGAATCTTGGAATCCTGGAATCTTGGAATCCTGGAATCTTATCTGCCTCCTCCGCAGGCCCTTACTATTTGTAGATCAGTGTATATATAGACATATCAGTTTAATATATAGATCAGTGGCTGAACAAATCCATCGTCCCGCGCGCCCCCATTATTTTTTTTTCGTCTTTTACTAATTAATTATTTGATAGCAAGCGACTGGGGACGAGGCAGGAATCTTATCATATAACCGCAGAATATGTTATTATCAAGATATTATTATTATACTTATGCAACATATTGTTCTGTATGCGATAATTTAACGGTAAGCTGTAAAACATGGAATCTGGAATCTGGAATCTTGGAATCTTGGAATCCTGGAATCTTGGAATCTTATCATATAACCGCAGAATATGTTATTATCAAGATATTATGATTATACTTATGCAACATATTGTTCTGTATGCAATAATTTAACACTTAGCTACAGAAGCAGACCTTGGTAATATATTATCAGTATATACTATATACGTTGCAGAATTTAATATCTCCATCTTGATGCCAATACATAATAATATAAACGCTGTGCGCGCATCTAAATAATGCCGTCGGTTTATGAGTGCGTAGCAAGATGACCAGGCGGAAGGCAACTAAATTACATTATATATATCATTGCAATCAGGAAAAACTCAATTAATTAGATGCACTATAACACCTCGTATTCCGTCAAAAAATACCACACTTGCGAGCAATTGCCGAGTTCATATAGTCTATATTCATTAAGGTTATGTCTTATGTTATAAGACAATAAGCCACTTTGACTCCTCCTCTACACTAGTAATCAAGTTCTATATTGAAATCTGCTGTGTTGGTGTAATGTACTCAGGTGAATAAGATGTTTGTGTGATGTTACTCTAAGTGTATATCCACACCGGGCAGGCTTGAAAAATATGCCTGGCCACGGCGGGATTCGAACCTACGACCTTTGGAATACTAGCCCAATGCTCTTCCAACTGAGCTACGCGGTCAGGACGTTCGAGTATGCGATATTTCGGAACTGAGTCTAGTTCCTTCGATATCAGTGTAATCTAATATTTATGAAATCTGCTGTGTTGGTGTAATGTACTCAGGTGAATAAGATGTTTGTGTGATGTTACTCTGAGTGTATATCCACACCGGGCAGGCTTGAAAAGTATGCCTGGCCACGGCGGGATTCGAACCTACGACCTTTGGAATACTAGCCCAATGCTCTTCCAACTGAGCTACGCGGTCAGGACGGTTCGAGTAAGCGATATTTCGGAACTGAGTCTAGTTCCTTCGATATCAGTGTAATCTAATATTTATGAAATCTGCTGTGTTGGTGTAATGTACTCAGGTGAATAAGATGTTTTGTGTGATGTTACTCTGAGTGTATATCCACACCGGGCAGGCTTGAAAAATATGCCTGGCCACGGCGGGATTCGAACCTACGACCTTTGGAATACTAGCCCAATGCTCTTCCAACTGAGCTACGCGGTCAGGTCGGTTCGAGTATGCGATATTTCGGAACTGAGTCTAGTTCCTTCGATATCAGTGTAATCTGATAATCATGAAATCTGCTGTGTTGGTGTAATGTACTCAGGTGAATAAGATGTTTGTGTGATGTTACTCTGAGTGTATATCCACACCGGGCAGGCTTGAAAAATATGCCTGGCCATGGCGGGATTCGAACCTACGACCTTTGGAATACTATCCCAATGCTCTTCCAACTGAGCTACGCGGTCAGGACGGTTCGAGTATCCGATATTTCGGAACTGAGTCTAGTTCCTTCGATATCAGTGTAATCTAATAACCATGAAATCTGCTGTGCTGGTGTAATGTACTCAGGTGAATAAGATGTTTGTGTGATGTTATTCTGAGTATATATCCACACCGGGCAGGCTTGAAAAATATGCCTGGCCACGGCGGGATTCGAACCTACGACCTTTGGAATACTAGCCCAATGCTCTTCCAACTGAGCTACGCGATCAGAACGGTTCGAGTATGCGATATTTCGGAACTGAGTCTAGTTCCTTCGATATCAGTGTAATCTAATAATCATGAAATCTGCTGTGTTGGTGTAATGTACTCAGGTGAATAAGATGTTTGTGTGATGTTACTCTGAGTATATATCCACACCGGGCGGGCTTAAAAAGTATGCCTGGCCACGGCGGGATTCGAAACTACGACCTTTGGAATACTAGCCCAATGCTCTACCAACTGAGCTACGCGGTCAGGACGGTTCGAGTATGCGATATTTCGGAACTGAGTCTAGTTCCTTCGATATCAGTGTAATCTAATAATCATGAAATCTGCTGTGTTGGTGAAATGTACTCAGGTGAATAAGATGTTTGTGTGATGTTACTCTGAGTGTATATCCACACCGGGCAGGCCTGAAACATATGCCTGGCCACGGTGGGAATCGAACCTACGACCTTTGGAATACTAGCCCAATGCTCTTCCAACTGAGCTACGCGGTCAGGACGGTTCGAGTATGCGATATTTTGGAACTGAGTCTAGTTCCTTCGATATCAGTGTAATATCGCATACTCGAACCGTCCTGACCGCGTAGCTCAGTTGGAAGAGCATTGGGCTAGTATTCCAAAGGTCGTAGGTTCGATTCCCACCGTGGCCAGGCATATGTTTCGGGCCTGCCCGGTGTGGATATACACTCAGAGTAACATCACACAAACATTTCCAGATCATCTAATCTATGACCGTCAGCAGGAGTTTGAGCCTGCGAATTCCTGGTGTGACACTAATCCTTTAAAGGATGAAACAGACGAACTGTTACGAATGATCGGAGAGAGATTATGGATAGCCAACTTGCCTCGAACCTAGCGCGGGCGTGTGGTCCAACGCGACTTCCTCTATCCCGGCATGATTTGAACGTCGACCCGTCATAGACGGGGAATGTTAGCCTGCGTAGCAACCGTTTATTTGCTTGCGAGCGGCGCTAGGGGAATGTATGCACATTCAATAATAGCTTCCGTTCGTGCTTCCACACAGAAACAAAACAGATACATATACAAGCTGTGACGAACTTTGACTACGTGTTTGACATGTTATGTTGTTGCTGTTCCTACCGATCATGTTAAGACACGACGCCATTCAGTGTCTAGTAAAACGGCCGCCACACAATGGTGAAATGAAAACATAGCTATTGGTTGCTCTAGCGAAAATACAACACACACGTGACGATGAACCGACAATTTCTTGCGTAAACCAAGACAAAACAGAGATAATGAGGTCTATTATGTCTGCATCGAGTTCCCTAACCTTCTTATTTAGATGAAACCAACGGCGTATCAAATCGTTACCGCCGCACCGTTACCGTCGTATATATACACTTCATCCTCGCTCGGTCCCACGGCCTCAGCCGTGAGGCCCTGGGACCGAGGATGATATAAACTTGAAACTTACGTCGTCATCATACGTTTCATTATCAGCAATAGGAAACGCTGTTTCTCCTCCCTCTTCAACATCGTTTAGAAAGTACAACACTGTTAAATACCTAGAGCATTACAATTGAACTACTATTACAGTAAACTGCAACCCTCGGTAATTCGGTATAAGCACTTAAAATCGTGATGGTCGCTAAATAGAGGTAGGTAATCTTCGAGTTAAGCCCCTCGAGTTAAGTCCTTCGAGTTAAGCCCTTTTCGAGTTAAGCCCTGACCACGCCCAAACCACACCCATTTTCGTCAAGGGCTTAATAACTCGAAGAAAGAAACAAAAGCTAGTCGAAAATAATCTTAATGAAAATTGACTATTTATACAAGTTGTTCGTGACCCATTTAGGCTGCAGCTTATTTAAGCCGAGACGTATGATAACTATTTCCAGCTAGATTGCGTGCGACTCAAATCATTGCTCTTTTACATGCCTCAAATGTCGGGGCTTAACTCGAGCGTCGAATATTTTCAATGACTTCGAGTTAAGCCCCTCTTTTTTCACGGGGCTTAACTCGAGCTTTCCAAGTTGTGTTTCTTTCTTCGAGTTAAGCCCTTGACGAAAATGGGTGTGGTTTGGGCGTGGTCGGGGCTTAACTCGAAAAAGGCTTAACTCGAGGGGCTTAACTCGAAGATTACCTACCTCGCTAAATGGACTAAGGACATTTGGGCCTTGTCTGCTAATAAACTACCCTATAAGGGGCAGTTTACATGATCCCGATTTACCGGGACGAGATGTGAGGCGGGATAATTTTGATGTATTGAAAAAGTCACAGTGATAGATTATAGTATAAATGTATTGTATAATAATTGTAAACGAAAGGTCGTTCGAGTTCTTTTAACCGACGTTTGAACTTTCGTTTAAGCCTAGTGATTTATTTCAATACATCCCGTCCCTGCATCGAAATCATGTATAAACAGCCCCTTAGCTTTACTTTGTCTATGCCAGACATCACCAGCCCTTGACAGTACTTCTACTGTATATATCTTACTTTACCTCGTGTATACTTCCATATTAATCTATTCTGCAATGTGATTTACACGTTGTTTTAACTAAGTCCATCTGTGATTGATTTATTTTTATAACGTGATAGCTTTTGATTCATTATTATAAAAGTACATGCGTTTTCCCGACCCATACTCCACACCACTATAAACTTGCAAAACTAAGTTTGTTCTATTTTTCAGGCAGTTGCATCATACACATAGATGCCGTATATTTAATTTAAGATGAAACACACTTCGAATATTAGCATCGAGTAAACTCGAGCTATCTCAGATTTAATAAACAAGATAACACAATTCAAGGTAATATTTCAACTTTATTCCAAAGTCATCGTCAAACCTATTTCCAAGCGTGCTGAGAACTTTATATAAGTATTATCTTGAATTTTGGTATCTTGTTCAAAATAGCTCGAATCTTGAGTTTACAAGATCATGTTGATATTCGGAGTGTGTTATATTTTGCGAAATTGTCTGCTGGTAAAGGATTTTGGACTATATTTAATCATACCTGCAAATACGGCAATCAGTTGTTTCATAATCATCCAAAAAACAACATCTCGTTTCCTTGTCAATTTCGTCACTGTCCTGGTGACAATTGTAGTGTCCTCGAGGACCATAATTAACCACCTAGTGTTCAGATAAGAGTTGGGAAAAAACTCCACACACAAACAAACAGACCTAATAGTAATAAACCAATGCCATGCATGCACGGGAAAATAGGAATTGCAGGATCCGCCCGGCCCTCCAGGATATCCCAAACACTCTCAATAGACAAATTTAGATCGAGGACGCAGACGTCAAAGACGACGTGAAAATGACGTGGCATGTCCCTGCATGGGCACAACACGCCATTTTCACGTTGTCTTTGACGTCCGCGTCCTCCATCTAAATCTGTCTAATATTTGCTCAAGGAGCCCTTAAGATCGCAAGGTTAGGTTACACCATAAAACTCGTGCTGTTCTTACAAAGACTCAATTGTGTGTTGAATAAAATGTTTGCACAAACTTTGATCATCGAAACTTCATTAACTATATAATGTATAATAGTTATTGGATGAGGATTTTGTGATATCCAGAATAATCAACGTCCATGCAGGTAAGTGTTATCAGTCGAGCCGAAGGCGAGATCGAGAACACTTACGGAGACTTTGGATTATTCGGGATATCTCAAAACCCGAATTCGATTACTGTTCTATTATACATTGCATTTTATTATACATTGCATTAGAATAAAAATGATTTGTTCCACCAAAAAACCGTTTGGTTCTAAAAAAAGCTGTGAAAACGTTAAAATATCACATTAACAGCATAATATAACTCATTTGCCTACTACTAAAGGTTGAAAAAAAATGTTAAAAAGGTCTGCTTGTTGCAAAACATTAAAAAATGCCGTTTCTATTAAAAAACCTGCCGCTTGCTATAAAACACATAGCGTGGGCTCAACCTACACATAACTCAGTTATCTGCCAGCACTGTGTAGGTTGCGTGATTTCCATATTTAGCTGTAAACTACTGGCCAATCATTAAAGAGTAGCTCCTTGTATCTATTTCGCTCAAAAGAGGAACCTACCGTCGCTTGCAACTAAGGATGAAAGGTCGCAGATAAAACATTGTCTATTCTCATGACAAAGTTCAATGTTTTTACCAAGAAAGTTCAATGTTTGTGATGATCATTTGATGGTTTCAATTCGCTCAGCCAAGATTGGACGATCAGATTAATACCTGTCAAGTGCTCTTGACAAACACTGACGATACACCGATATCCATATCGGTATCGGCTTATCGGTACTAAAATAGAACTATCGATATCGGTAATTTTGTTGTTGATGTTACGGATATTATTTAACATTATTAATGATTGGTTATAGTTGCAATTCAATAGTTGTTTTTATTACATATTATTTATTGTTTTTATTATTTAGTAATATACTAGTTTGTTGCATGCATTTGCAGCAATTCATTTCAGATATTTTCAGTATTTAGAAACAAATGAATTAAATTAAATTCAAAAATGACATATAGAATATCGGTATCGGAAAAATATCGGTCCTTCAATATCGGTTATCGGATATCGGTGAATTTCCATACCGGTGCATCACTTACGCCCGTATTCTAAAAGCTCACTCACACTCACACCCAATGAGTGGAAGTTCAATCTGAGCTTCTCTCGAGTGTCATTGCTGTTTTTGAATAGCTGAAGGGTTAGTGCCAAACCTTACTATGTGACTACTCACCCTTCAGCTATTGAAAAACAGCATTGACACTCAAGGAAAGCTCAGCTTGAACCTCAACTCATTGGGTGTGAGTGAGCTTTTAGAATACAGGCGTAAATGTTCTTATCAGCGACCGTTCATCCTTAGTTGCAATGTGGTTGCAAGCGACGGCAAACCAGGAAAATTCTTAATTGAAATCATTGCAGTTGGGTTTTGCACGTGGAAATTTCGAGTGCGAATTCCACACACTTATTAGACCTAACCAGGAGCAGACCGAGCAGTTGAGAAAAATGCAGTCGCATGGCGGCGAAGAATGTGGTCAC